TGCGTTTCATACCAGCTGGATTCGGTAAAATGCTACTGACACCACATAAGAGGCACGGGCAGTTTCCCAATGAGGTTCACGGCGCCATCAGCTCGATGAACAGGCTTTGTGTGAAATATAACAGAGTCTAGAACTGCTTTTAGTGTCCTTGTGGCCTAGCCGGTAAGCGTTCCCTAGTCACACCCAGTAGGTCGAGGGTTCGATTCCTTGCTGGTGAGGTCGTTGATTATATGTTCAAAGTCCGCGTGTTATATGGACTAAAAATGAAGTATATATATGTACCTCGCGTTTCATACCAGCTGGATTCGGTAAAATGCTACTGACACCACATAAGAGGCACGGACAGTTTCCCAATGAGGTTCACGGCGCCATCAGCTCGATGAACAGGCTTTGTGTGAAATATAACAGAGTCTAGAACTGCTTTTAGTGTCCTTGTGGCCTAGCCGGTAAGCGTTCCCTAGTCACACCCAGTAGGTCGAGGATTCGATTCCTTGCTGGTGAGGTCGTTGATTATATGTTCAAAGTCCGCGTGTTATATGGACTAAAAATGAAGTATATATATATATATATATATATATATATATATATATATATATATATATATATATATATATATATATATATATATATATATATGGTGTTACCCCTACAGCGGTCAATAGAACCCAGAGGGTCCCGTGTTAAGTGAAATCCGCGTTAAGTGAACAACAGAACATATGGGATTAATTCCAATAGAAACCGGCCCGACCCCCAAACTCCACTTTTTGAAGACACATAACTATGTTGTAGTAAAAATAACATCTTAATTTTATGATGGTACATGCACACAATTAATACTTAAGAGAAATAGAGAAATACAGTCGCCAAGTTAATGTCCATTCAAATAATGGACTCAACTCCCTCCCCCTCTTCTCACACTACACTGCTGGCTCTTCCCTCTCTGAGAAATTTTTGGGGGAAAACCACTAAATTTTCAAATAATACCTCAAACTAAAGTTAGGATAATATAATTGACATTGCTGGATTCCTTGTAAGACCAGGAATATTTTGAATATAAATGTCATATATTTTGCACAAAAGATAACATATTTACTCAGAGAAAACATTTTATCTAAAATTTGTATGTCTAATGCAAAATCTATGATGTTATATTCAAAATGATCACCAAATTATAAGAATTCCAGCAATGTAAATTATATTCTGGCCGGGTAATTTGTATGAATTTTATGAGCTAAAACAAATATCTTCAGTTAATAAAAAAAAATATTCTTCACGACACTATCTGTCAATCAAAGTACCCCACCTTGCCTCCCCCCCCTCTTCCAACCACGTGGTCAGTCCCAACCCTCCCCCCCACCCCCCACCAATCCTCCCTTCAAGAGAAAGAGTGGGTGAAAAAACTAGATTTTAACATTTTGTATTAAATAATACCTCAGATTAAAGTTAGGATAATATAATTGACATTGCTGGATTCCTTGTAAGACCAGGAATATTTTGAATATAAATGTCATATATTTTGCACAAAAGATAACATATTTACTCAGAGAAAACATTTTATCTAAAATTTGTATGTCTAATGCAAAATATATGTTTATATTCAAAATGATCATCAAATTATAAGAATTCCAGCAATGTAAATTATATTCTGACCGGGTAATTTGTAGAATTTTATGAGCTAAAACAAATATCTTCAGTTAATAAAAAAAAAATATTCTTCACAGGGTAACAGATGGTCGGTCGGTCCCTCCCTCCCCCCAACCCCCCACCAACCGTCCCAAGGAGATGTGCGGAAAACCAGAATATATTACGTTTTAGTAATAAATAATACCTCAAACTAAAGTTAGGATAATATAATTGACATTGCTGGATTCCTTGTAAGAACAGGAATATTTTGAATATAAATGTCATATATTTTGCACAAAAGATAACATATTTACTCAGAGAAAACATTTTATCTAAAATTTGTATGTCTAATGCAAAATATATGATGTTTATATTCAAAATGATCACCAAATTATAAGAATTCCAGCAATGTAAATTATATTCTGGCCGGGTAATTTGTATGAAATTTATGAGCTAAAACAGGCAGTCAGGCAGGGTGGCGAGTGGGCAAATCTAAAAATAGCGTCTCGAGCCAGACACTCACAGCGTATATGTGGAAAAAATCCGTGTTAAGTGAAAGTTCAGCTCTGGCGAGGCACCGCGTATATGAAAAAACGCGTTAAGTGAAACGGTTAGTACCAATAATACTATATATATATATATATATATATATATATATATATATATATATATATATATATATATATATATATATATATATATATATATATATATATATATATATATATGCAAGTAAATCACTGTAGGTGCGTGATCTAGGTATATGCTGATAACCACAAGGAAGAAAGAAAACACGAAGTTCCCAAGCGCTTTTGTGTAATTCACATCTTCAGGGGTGAGTACAGACTAGAGAGAGTAATACAAATCAAGGTGTATATATACAGAGGAGGGTGAGACCAGGTCCACAATGGTCAGGTATTAGGTAATGACGCTACTAATCTTTAAATAGCACACAACGGTTGGTGGTCAGGTCAGATGGTCAAGTGACCCGGCCTTCTCACCTGATCACAAATCTTCTTAATTACAAAATTGTCCAGCTTGATTTGTATTACTCTCTCTAGTCTGTACTCACCCCTGAAGATGTGAATTACACGAAAGCGCTTGGGAACTTCGTGTTTTCTTCTTTCCTTGTGGTTATCAGCATATATATATATATATATATATATATATATATATATATATATATATATATATATATAAATTTTTTATGGGGCCTTTTTTTTTTTTTTTAACGGTGATTAGCCCACCTGTGCATAAATCACTGATTCACCTCATAAATCACTGACTCACATCCCGGCCTGGTGGGCGAAAATGTAATACAGTCAACCCTCGCTTTACGCGGTCCCACATTACGCGTTTCCACGTTTACGCGGTACCCTGCCGAAACCGGAATGCTCACTTTACGCTGTGAGTGTACCCCTTTAACTGAGAGCAGATGGCCAGCTGCGCCATTTTTGGATCCAAACCTCCAGCCCTCTCCCGCCATCCGCCATGTTGTGTAAGCGGTGCGAGTAGGTTGCGCAGTGTGTGTCGTTTTTGTGTTATCAGTGGTGTCATATGACTTATCGGACTGTAATTGGGCCATGCATCCTTACCTCCCTCCGCTGCTAGCTGTGATTGGCTTAAAGTAATATGTCTTGTCCAACCGCGGGAGGGAGGGAGGAAAGACGACGCTTGACCTAGCCGCAGCAGTTTCATCCCTCCAGGCCACACCGAGTATACGTGATTCCATTGTTCTGTAAAATGGCTTCCGCCGGACCACCGCCCCCAGAGAGAAACCTTTCCTTACCTGGACCCAGCCGCCCTAAGCCAAAGAAGACACGACGTTCCTTAAGCTACGAAATTAAGTATAAGATCATACAAGAGTTGGAGAAAGGAACAAGACAGGATGATCTCACGCGCCAGCGTGGTTTTTAACGAGTCTACGATCAGGACAATTAAGAAGGATGCAGCCAAGATAAAGGAGCACATGAACATCACAAAGTCTACAGGTGCTTCTATGATCAAGTATTTCCACAACTAGGTGCTTCTCAAGACGGAAATATTACTTGTGAGCTACTTGGTGCGTCAGGCGTGACGGAACATGACGGTGGACACGCGCTCAGTTAAGGAGTATGCACGTGAACTGTATGCTGCAGTGTCACGAAAGATGGGAATTACAGAGCCCAAACCCTTTAATGCTTCCTCTGGGTGGTTACAGAGGTTTAAGATGCGGAACTAGATCACCAATATAAACATTGGTGGTGAAGAAGCTAGTGCTGACCGTGCTGCGGCTAGGGAATTTCCTCCGTTTTTACGTGAGATGGAGGAAGGACAGTACACTGACGACCAGGTGTTTAACATGGACGAATCTGGTCTTTTTTGGAAAAAGCTACCTTCCAAGACCTTCGTTGTGAAGAATGCCAGCAAGATTCGGGGCCGGAAGATGCAGAAGGAGCGCATCACCGTCCTGTTTACCACCAATGCCTCCGGTACCTGTAAGCTCAAGTTATCGGTGATCCACACAGCTCGCAAGCCGCACGCCTACAAGAGCATGGACATGACCAAGCTAAATGTCCACTGGCTGACCGCACGTAAGGCGTGGATGTTCTCTACACTGTCCCTCTCCTGGTTTGATGACTGTTTCGTTCCCGATGTAAAGAAATTCTGTGAGCAACAGAATGTGCCAGTCAAGATTTTGTTGCTGCTGGACAACGCACCAGGACACTCGCCCCTACTGTTAGATCGTCACCCCAACGTAAAAGTGGTCTTCCTTCCTCCCAACACTACGTCTATATTACAGCCCATGGACCAAGAGTTAATATGTAATGTAAAAGCTGCAGTCTCAACAACAAAATTCAAGCTCCTGAACGACTATACCAACACCAGGGAAGAGTTGCGTAACCTGAGTGACACCACCACCGATAGCAAGAGCGAAGAAGACGAGGATCAACAGTTGGCAGAGCAAAAAATATTTTTCAAACAATTCTGGAGAATATTTAACATCAAGAAAGCTGTGGACTTCTTGCTGGAGGCATGGGATCAGCTGTCTGTAGCAACTGTTCGTCACGCATGGAGACATGTGTTGCAAGGCATTCCGGGCATAAGGCAGAGTCAATCTGTGACTGGTGAGGTTCAGACTGTTGCAGTAGCAGTGGACCTTGCCAGAGAAGCATCGCAGAGTGTTACAGCTGCAGGCTTCTCCGAGACCACCAACGACGACATCCTAGAGGTGATAAGGGATCCTGATGTGACTACCGACGAGATGGTAGATAATGATGACGTCAGTGAAGAGGCAGGTGGCGCGTCATCCCAAGAAGAACACTGCTTATCCCATAGTAATGTTAGGGGTGCCATCGAGTGTGTCGAGAAAATCAAGCTCCTCCTTTCCGACAACCATGACACAAACAGGTATGAAATCTTCACTACCCAGCTGTTGCAGACTATGGAGCCCTACTTCAAGGTTTATCACGACAACATAAACACCAGCCGTCAGCAAAGCATAACAGAGTTTTTCGCCCGCAACCCACCACAGCCAGCCCAAGCCAGTGATAGTGACAGAGGTAGAAACAGTGAAGATGACTTTGAGGGATTTGTCAGGGAGGCCCTGACAAGTGTGGATGACAGTGATGGTGACTCGCCTGAGGGCCAGTAGCCTGCCCTCTGCCTCGGAACCAGCCTCCATCCTCTTATGCCGACCCATCTCTTCTACTAACGTAAGTGTTCAACCTAACTTTTAGCTTTCCTAACCTAACCTTTATTTTTCCTAACTTAACCTTTATTTTTCCTAACCTAACCTCTTCTATATTAATTGTTTGTGCATACCATCATAAAGTTAAGATAAAATTTTTACTACAACATAGTTGTGTGTCCTCAAAAAGTGGAGTTTGGGGGTCGGCCTGGTCTCTATTTCAATTAATCCCATATGTTATGTTGTTCACTTTACGTGTTTCTCACTTTCCGCGGTACCCTGTGGGTTATATTAACCGCGTAGAGTGAGGGTTGACTGTATATATATATATATATATATATATATATATATATATATATATATATATATATATATATATATATATATATATATATATATATATATATATATATATATATATATATATATATATATATATATGTAACCGGTCGGAATTTGCTGGACTTTAATTTCTCACTTGACTTGGGGTTTATTAAAATTTAATAGATGGTAAAGGCAGTGGAAGCGCCCCTTTGAGAAAAATCCCGAACCAGCACAAGAACACTTAAATCTACTACACAAAATGAACTGTCCGTGACCCGTGGAAGGATAGCGTCTGTGACTGGGATGAATGAGACACACTGTAAAATTTAGACACTTATATTCCCTCCAACACTACAAACACAATCAAATAATGGTACACCAATATGCGCACCTCTTAACTTAAACTTAAACCACTACTCTGGGGAATAAAAGTTATAAATGACATAGAAATTATTAGAAACACAGGCAACAATAAATTTGAAGTATTAAGAAATGTTGTTTACTCCACCATGAATAGGCCTTAAGGGTCTTCAACAAAATAATATCAGTCACTGAGGAATGGTAATAAAAGATAAGAAATTAAATACTCTACAATGAATAGGCCTAAAGGGCTTTCAGCAAAATAATATCACTCAACAAAATTATAGCACCCCAACAGGTGTACACTTCCTAACCTAACCTAACCACTGCTCTGGGGAACAAGGTTATACCTGAGATCAGAATTATGAAGAATTAGAGGCATTAAAAGAATCAAATCACAGTATCACTCTGGTTCCACTTAATGGCACAAACATTACAAAAAAACACTACTATCAAAATTATTTAAGAAATATTAAACTACACACGTCAAGATAATATCAGTCTGAGGAATGGTGTTAACTACACCCGTGATAAGGAAGATAAAATGTTCCTCTAGGTATCTCCTAGAGTCCTAGACTCACGGTCTCAGTGTGTGACCATTAATATACTCAGATAGCCTCAGTGTACTCCCAGTGCGTCCATGGGCAGGAAGAGAGTGAGCCAATCAGACCTTGCGCAGTTGAGAGAAACTTTAGCTTCCCGTTAGCAAGAGGGTTTCACTAGCTGCTCGGGACATGTGGGGTTGTGCACCGGAGTGGTAAGAACTGATCACCCACTGCTGATGCTGGTCCCGTGTCGTGTTAGTTGTCGGGAGCACTCGTTCACTCAAGAGATCCTTTGCTACCCCGCTAAACAGTGACAGGCCTACACTGATCGGTCCAATGGCGACAATCGCCACCCTCAATCATCAACGGCAGTCAATCTCTCGCAGTCAACTCCGGTCAACTCCAGTCAAGTGGGTTCTGACGGAAACCCTGAAATGAACTCACTGTTAGCTCTAGTTTACTTTATCACTGCCCTATCTAACCCTGTCTGAGATCGAATGAGACTTACTTGTTATACTGCAATAGCGCAGCACAGGTGACTAGGCCACGTGACTATTTCTGATGGACGCGCGGAACGTCTTGTCTGTGTGAATGCTCTCCGGGACTGGCCTAGCCAGCGTCGCGTCTCCCCAAGGCGCTAGCTTGGGCCTACGTGATATATTTTCCGCCTAACTAATAACTCCTTGTGACACCCGTAACATTATTCAGACTGCTAAACGATCTATAATAATTTCAAATTCAATAATAGTCCCTTAACTTCATGAATCGCATCATTATTAATTCGGTAAATTACATTTAATATCATATAGGCCTAGTTCCGCAGTCTCTCGCTACGAGCAGGCAGCGCTCCCTCCCCTCAGATGACCTTGAACGCTCAGTATCACTCATGGCGGGGCATTTGAAATTACTCTGAAATTTCTGGATATCACAATCGACCCCCCTAAAAAAAGACAGCACTGTCCTCATGTGCTGAGAAAACATGCATACGACCCCCCTAAAATTTTGTTCTAAGGACTGCACCTCACCCCTTTTGCTAAATGCAGCATTTGTCTTCTCTTCTCTCCTTTTCTCTCCCGCTAACATATATATATATATATATATATATATATATATATATATATATATATATATATATATATATATATATATATATATATATATATATATGTAACCGGTCGGAATTTACTGGACTTTAATTTCTCACTTGACTTGGGGTTTATTAAAATTAATAGATGGTAATGGCAGTGGAAGCGCCCCTTTGAGAAAAATCCCGAACCAGCACAAGAACACTTAAATCTACTAAACAAAATGAATTGTCCGTGACCCGTGGAAGGATAGCGTCTGTGACTGGGATGAATGAGACACACTGTAAAATTTAGACACTTATATTCCCTCCAACACTACAAACACAATCAAATAATGGTACACCAATATGCGCACCTCTTAACTTGAACTTAAAACACTACTCTGGGGAATAAAAGTTATACATGATACAGAAATTATTAGAAACTCAGGCAACAATAAATTTGAAGTATTACGAAATGTTGCTTGCACACATGAACAGGCCTGAAGGGCTTTCACAAAATAATATCAGTCATTAGGAAATGGTATTAAAATTTAAGAAATTAACTACTCTACAATGAATAGGCCTTAAGGGCTTTCAACAAAATAATATCAGTCACTGAGGAAATGGTAATAAAAAATAAGAAATTAAATACTCTACAATGAATAGGCCTTAAGTCTTTCAACAAAATAATATCAGTCACTGAGGAAATGGTAATAAAAAATAAGAAATTAAATACTCTACAATGAATAGGCCTTAAGGGCACTCAACAAAATAATATCCCCCACTGCGGAGGTGGTATAAAAATAAGAAATTAATAATTCCACCATGAATAGGCCTAAAAGGCACTCAGTATAAATATGTTACCCCAACAGATGCACACTTCCTAACCTAACTTAACCACTACTCTGGGGAACAAAGGTTATACCTGAGATCAGAATTATGAAGAAAAATTAGATGCATTAAAGAATCAAATCACAGTATCACTCTGGTTCCACTTAGTGACACAAACGTTCAAACAACAATACTATCAAAATTATTTAAGAAATATTAAACCACACACGTCAAGATAACATCAGTAACTGAGAAATGGTATTAACTACACACAAATATATTGTCACTATTATTGGTTTGTTACTGGGTCCACCAATACCCGTGAACCATGCTCCACCCAACTCAACATACACCCGTAATAAGGGAGATAAAATGTTCCTCTAGGTATCTCCTAGAGTCCTAGACTCATGGTCTCAGTGTGTGACCATTAATTTTCTCAGATAGCCTCAGTGTACTCTCAGTGCGTCCATGGGCAGGAAGAGAGAACGCCAGCAGGTGTCTATGGCCAGTAGGTAACACTTCTAGCTGACCGAGGACACGTGGTGTTGTGCACCCGAGTGGTAAGAACTGATCACCCACTGCTGATGCTGGTCCCGTGTCGTTTTAGTTGTCGGGAGCACTCGTTCACTCAAGAGATCCTTTGCTACCCCGCTAAACAGTGACCGGCCTACACTGATCGGTTCAATGGCGACAATCGCCACCCTCAATCATCAACGGCAGTCTCAAACGGCAGTCAACTCCGGTCAACTCCGGTCAACTCCAGTCAAGTGGGTTCTGACGGAAACCCTGAAATGAACTCACTGTTAGCTCTAGTTTACTTTACCACTGCCCTATCTAACCCTGTCTGAGATCGAATGAGACTTACTTGTTATACTGCAATAGCACAGCACAGGTGACTAGGCCACGTGACTATTTCTGTGACGGACGTGCAGGGACGTCTTGTCTGCCTGACTCCTCCCCGCGACTGAGGGCTAGCCAGCGTCGCGTCTCCTCAAGGCGTTAGCTTAGGCCTACATGACATATTTTCCGCCTAACTAATAACTCCTTGGGACACCCGTAACATTATTCAGACTGATAAACGATCTATAATAATTTCAAATTCAATAATAGTCCCTTACTTCATGAATCGCATCATTATTAATTCGGTAAATTACATTTAATATCATATAGGCCTAGTTCTGCAATCTCTCGCTACGAGCAGGCAGCGCTCTCTTCCCTCAGATGACCTTGAACGCTCAGTATCGCTAATGGCGGGGCATTTGAAATTACTCTGAAATTTCTGAATATTAAATATATATACATACATACATACATACATACATATATGTACATACATACATACATATATGTACATATATATCTTGATAAAATCACACGGGAAAAGGGAAACAACGGAGCACCTTAGCTTTCTTCTTTATTCAAGACATCTTCAGTTGCCTCTGAAGATGTCTTGAATAAAGATAAAGCTAAGGTGCTCCGTTGTTTCCCTTTTCCCGTGTGATTTTATCAAGATTTATCTTATCCACGTTTTCATTGTGGATCTACATGAAATATACATATATATATATACGTATAATTTTTTTTTTTAAGCCTCACAAAATTGGATACAGTATACTGGGATGTGATCTGATCTACAGCCTGCTCCTGGAATTGTCTTGGTTTGGGTTACTGATTTCTGAATTAAAATGTGCAGTAATCTATTTGAGTCCTGACAGTGTTATTTACATTGGTCTGTGGGGGTGATATCCAAACTCTGTATAGAGATGCCTAGGGTGGTTCTACACCATGTACATACAATGCTGATGATAAGAATAATAGTAGTAATAATAATAATAATATACTACCTTACTTGAACAGATGACCCAGATGATCCATTTGACTACGATACCATTGAGATCCCAACTGTGATGGGTCTCTTGAGGAATATTCTTACACAATATCCTGATAATGGACAAATAATTAAGGTGAGTACTGGACCATATCTGGAGAACTCCTGTAAGACCTTTCAGGACATCATTTACAGTATACCCTTGCCATCTTGGACTAATTGGGGGTTAAGGACAGTGAGTAGGCCAGAGTCTGACCTGGGTCCGAGATCTAAGGGCAATAAGTCTGAGATAGGAGGTTGAGTCTGAGTCCGACCTTGGTTTGAGATCTAAGGACAAAATGTGTATGGCGTGATTGGGAGAGTGGTGGCCAAAGCTTCACCCATGTCACTAACTTCTGGCTCACTTTCACTGTCTGGGCCTGTCACAAGGATTTCATGCGCTTAGAAGGACGATGAGGAGGTGGAGAAGCACTCAGCACATGCTTAGTAGAAGGTTGAGGGTCCATCTCTCTCATGTGCTATGAACAAATTAACTAATTGGCCCGTGGAAACATCAAGGCATCCTTTGGGTTCAAATAATATCACATTGCCTCCATATACCAAGATCTAACTATACAAACAATGCAATTGGCAACCTCGACCCCAAGCTCCAAGAACAGACTTGCTTCTGATTCGCCGATTTAGCTTCTTTGTATCCATTACAGGATTTGATCAGGCAGAACAATAGTCATACAGTCCACGTGCATCATATCTTGCCAATACAGTTCAAACTGATAGCATTAGTGAATCATTTAATACCATGTGTGTGCTGGGCCATTAGCCATCCATGTTCTCATTTGATGCCTTGTGCAAGAAGTGGGTAACAGAAAATTTTGCCACAAGACCTCAGCCTCATTAGCACAGTTCTTCTTTCACTGATATTACTAAAAATTGATTTGAGATGACGTGACAGTATCAAGGCAGTAACATAGGAATAGAGGACAAACATCTTGATAGAAATATAAAGTTCCTTTGCTGACAGCTTTTATATTTATATTTTAGGGTATTTTGTTCTATACCTTTTAATGTGTAAGATAGTAGTTGTAGCAGTGGTTATTTGAATTTATTATTGAGGGTAGCAGGTAAACAGTGCTATGTTTGTTCTCTGCACTACTACAGTGTGGTTGTCAAGAAGCTCCGCTCACAAGTGTGTGACGTCAGTCACAACTGTGCTATTGATCCCAGGGTGTGATTTAATTTTTTAATTTGGAGTCTTTTAGAACCATCCATAGGCCTGTCTTGAGAAAATTCTACTTGGAGGCCTTGGTACTGCTTTAAAGAGAACTTAGCACCCTTTCTTAAAACTTGGTAATCTAATCCAGACTCTATACGTATACATATATATAAATATAGCAATTTGACTTGTAGTTCTCTCTTTGAAGGGCATTGTGTGAAATATGCTTTTTATGAAAAATTAAAGTTAATGCTGTGTTTGTCATGGATAGTAGGTCGCAATCTCACACTCACTGAACTTACCTACATTACTGGTTTACTCTATTAAGTAACTTGAAGAAAGGTTTTACAAATAAAAACAAATTCCTGTACAGCTTTAGTCAACAAATATAGGTCTATAAGTTGCTCTCACTATGGAAATAATAACATGACTGTAACCGAGTCTAATCTACAGGAACTTGTTCAAAATGCTGAGGATGCTGGAGCCACAGCTGTTGAGGTAGTACATGATGCCAGAGAGCTGCAGTGTTCAGGGGCTAAGGATGTTATTCAGAGATTTTTAAAGGTAAGACAATTTTTTTTCCAGTAAATCTTTTTGTTCTGGAATAATTACCAATCTTTGTAGTAGACATATAAGTGGGTGCATTGACTTCTTTTGACCCTTCTGGTCATTGATGGAAGTAACTCCAGTTTATCCAGCTTTAGAATTGGTATCTAACTTAACTTTAGGAGATTAAAAAAGGTGGTGTAATACTGTTCTAACTGATTCCTTGTGTAATAATGGCTTGTATTTATTATGCTGCTGTATCCACACTACCATTATAGTACAGAACTTATTTACACAGTAATTTTCTTGTAAGAAAATATAATTTTTTGTGAGTTATCCTGATAAGTAGGACCAATGATTCTGGCCCTATCGGATGTTTGAGCACTCCAATGGCTGAAAGTGGTGTCACCAAGCGGCCAACATGTATAAACACATTAAGCCCATTGCACCTTACAATGTACTGTACAGTCGGCCAAAGATGCACCATCCCTGCTTTGGGTCTTGTGCTTGCAGTTTTACCTGGCAATGCTTGGTAAAGGAAGGCTGTATGTAAAGGTGATTGTGATTGGTGGATCAGTTTTCAGCATTTGCTATGCTTATCATTTTCTCACCTCTTTCACAACGCTTTATAATGTCTGCCTTTGTTTACAACATAATAGTGCGACGCTTCTTACTACCACTGGCATCACTCTTACGCTTCTGAGACATGTTGGGGTCAATAATATTCGTCAAAACCATAAATAACCACAAATAACACCATGAGGCAGCAGAGGAACACAACAACAATAATGGCGTTAGGGATACAGGGTGACGCTGTACAGCCAACGCCATCTATCGTGCGGCGGTTGAACTTACGACTCGTCGCGGTTTTCAAACAGGCAATTGGACAATATGGACAGGTTTGTTCGTATCTCTGAAAGTTCGTAACTTGAATGTTCGTAAGTAGGGGAGCTCCTCTAAAAGATAATTATTTGCCTACTTAGGGAGTATACTACCCTTGGTTCTTCAATAAGCATGAAGAGTTTCTCTGTGCTTATAAGGCACAAAACTTATAAAAAGATACAACTTACCTGAGAACGTAAATTAATGTAATTGATATTATTATTGTTATATTCTTACTATTACAGTATTATATTTGAATACCGTACAGTATTTGAGATACTTGAGGAGGGGTTTTGTATGCTGTATAGCAAATAATTTTCATATAGAGAGGTAATATTGTACAGGTGCTAGGGCGGATCCAGGAATATGAAAAGGGGGGTCCAGTCCAAGAAGTGGGTGGGGCACCATGTGCTCACCCACCCAGCTGGGGAGTTATATTTATTTATTTATTTTTATTTATATATATACAGTATATATATATATTTTTTTTGGGGGGGGGACTTTTTTTCTTTTTTTTTAATCTGACCAATATCATGGCCATTTTGTAGTCATGTGCACTTGACATTAGGAGACAGTCTGAGGTCAATAGTAATTACTTTTTACTATACAAAAATGCCTGAGTACAATACGAGCTGTACATTAAAGAAAAAGTATTGGCATTTTCTGATGAAGGGGGGGAGGGCGGTCAGTACCCCCTCTGGATCTGCCCGTGGGTACACTCACCCAAAAAAGTATCAGCCCCCGGGCCTGATCTATTTAGAAATGAACACAATAACACTTGCACAGCAGTTGCGGTTCTGTTGGTGTTTCTAATTGTGAGTTACACCTTTCGTTCTTTCTTCTTGCACCTTATAACTACCATCATGAGTAACCCCACTCATTTATGCAGTAGTACCCCGCTTAACGCGGTCAACGTGTTAAGTGAAAACCGCGCTAAGTGAACAACAGAACATATGGGATTAATTCCAATAGAAACTGGCCCGACCCCCAAACTCCACTTTTTCCGACACAATACCTATGTTCTAGTAAAAATAACATCTTAATTTTATGATGGTACATGCACACAATTAATACTTAAGAGAAATAGAGAAATACAGTCGCCAAGTTAATGTCCATTCAAATAATGGACTGACTCCCTCCCCCTCTTCTCACACTACACTCGCTGGCTCTTCCCTCTGAGAAATTTTGGGGGGAAAACCACTAAATTTTAATAAATAATACCTCAAACTAAAGTTAGGATAATACAATTGACATTGCTGGATTCCTTGTAAGACCAGGAATATTTTGAATATAAATGTCATATATTTTGCACAAAAGATAACATATTTACTCAGAGTAAACATTACATCTAAAATTTGTATGTCTAATGCAAAATCTATGATGTTTATATTCAAAATGATCATCAAATTATAAGAATTCCAGCAATGTAAATTATATTCTGACTGGGTAATTTGTATGAATTTTATGAGCTAAAACAAATATCTTCAGTTAATAATAAAAAAAAAATATTCTTCACACGGTAACAGATGGTGGGTCGGTCCCTCCCTCCCCCCCACCCCCCACCAACCCTCCCTACCAGATGTGTGGGAAAACCAGAATATTTACCTTTTTAGTAATAAATAATACCTCAAACTAAAGTTAGGATAATATAATTGACATTGCTGGATTCCTTGTAAGACCAGGAATATTTTGAATACAAATGTCATATATTTTGCACAAAAAATAACATATTTACTCAGAGTAAACATTATATCTAAAATTTGTATGTCTAATGCAAAATCTATGATGTTTATATTCAAAATGATCATCATATTGTAAGAATTCCAGCAATGTAAATTATATTCTGGCCGGGTAATTTGTATGAATTTTATGAGCTAAAACAGGCAGGCAGGGTGGCGGGTGGGGGGTGGGGCGAATCTAAAAATAGCTCTCGAGCCGGACACTCTGCGATATGTGGAAAAAACCCGCGTTAAGTGAAAGTTCAGCTCTGGCGAGGCACCGCGTATACGTGAAATCCGCTAAGCGAAACCGTGTTAAGCGGGGTATTACTGTACTATGTTTACATGAACAGAGGTTACAATGGAATTGCTTCAAACGAAATATGAAACACTATGATCCGATATTACATTCATTTGCAAATACATAAGAAACCACCAGGCATCGCTACCAATGAGCACAGCTTCCCGGCTCTCGTCTGTCTCACTCGTGTCCCCCGCCACACTGTTAATACATCTCACTGCAGCCCTTGTGATTTGTGTTTGTAAAATCCTATCATGGTTCCAAAACTCCCCTTCTAAAGATGGTGACAAAGACGATAACGCACCAAAGAAAAGTGTTGACTTTAGTCGAAAGCCGAAATAATAAAGAGACGTGAGAGTCACATGACTTATACAGCATGTGCTAGGGCATATGAGACGAACTAATCAACAGTTCACGACAGATTAATGATCATCCATCATCATTCATCAGTATCATTATTCATCAATAATGAATAATAATAATGATGAATCATCATCATCTGCTGTGATGTACCAGAGGGAGAGTTGGGAGGGAGGATCAGGAGAGCAGAGCAACATAACTTGGCTGGTGAGCACAGTACTGTACAGTATTCCATAATGGCCTAAGTTCTTTTCCTGAGTAAGAAGCTAGAACTGGAGCTGAATAATCAATGATACTCCTTACTGTACTTAAATACATAGATCTTAAAACTGGTATGCCAACACCATTTCCTCTATTTGACAAAATTTTCAGAGGTTTTAGCCGAGCTGTACATATAATTTGATCCTTAACATTATTATTTATACCCACAAACATTCCCAGATATTTGTAACTGGATAATTTTTGCAATTTTATTCCATTTAGCCAAAATTCTTTTCCATTTACTGCCCTTGACTGAAATTTGGTTTTATTTTCATTAATGACCAGTCCCAAGGAGAGACAAAGATACTGCAGCTGATCAATGACCCTAGACATATCTTCCTCATTCTTACATTGGATCAGAATGTCATCAGCATAAATGATTACAGGTTGACAACCCTTTATCCGAAATTCCGAAAACCGAAAAGCTCTGAAAACCGAAAGTTTTTTGTGGAGCAATTTTTTTTTTTTTTTTTTTTTTTTAAACAGGGATTAGCCCATCCAGACATAGATCACTGACCCACATCGGGGCCTGGGGGGCGAAAATGTAATAGTAATACTAATTATAATAATAATAATTATGATAATAATAATAATAATAATAATAATTATAATAATAGCCTAATTATTCATAGTAAATAAAAAATTTAATTAAAAAATACACCATAATAAAATAATAATGATAACAATAATACTGTATTAATAAAATAATAATAATAATAATAATAATAATAATAATAATAATAATAATAATAATAATAATAATAATAATAATAATAAAGAAATACAAGAATGAAAAAAAATTAAAAGTGAGTAACACGGCCTAGACCTATGAATTATTATAATTACTGCATTATTATTATTATTATTATTATTATTATTATTATTATTATTATTATTGTTATGATTATTATATTTTCGCCCCCCAGACCCCAATGTGGGTCAATGACTTTTGCCCGGATGGGTTAAAAAAAAAAAAAAAAACTGAAAACCGAAAACCGAAAAATTCCGAAATCCGAAATGCCTCTGGTCCCAAGGATTTCGGATAAGGGATTGTCAACGTGTACTTAGGGACTCGCCCTGGAATTTGTAACTAGCTATTCTGCCCATAAGAATATTAAAAAGTAAAAAAAAAAAAAAGCATAGGGCCAAGAATGCCACATTGTGGGG